CTCACACTGTAATTTGAAACACAAAACCCAGCCCACAGCTCAGCAAAAGAGAACAACATTCCTCGAAATTCTCTGGTTCAGCCAATAAGTAGCCTCATTTTTGTCGACTTTGTTATGTGCTGCAAGCCACTCGATAATTGCTTTGAAAATTCTGCGTGCAACACACTCAAAGGGGAGTCTAGAATCATTGAAGATGCGCATGTTTCGTTCAAGCCATATATTCCAACAAGTGGCGTGCAGGGCGCTGAAGATGATCCACCCTTCCAAGCTTGCAGGGGTGGATGAAGGCCAGTTGGTGATAATTGTCTGTAAATCGCCTTGAATGGAAGCAATGGAGCTGCACCGTTGAGCAATGAAATTCCAGGTGTTTTTGGCGTAGTTTCAATCGATGAAGAGATGATGTTGGGTCTCGGTGTTGTTGCAGCAAAGCTCGCAGCGGTTTGCAAGCTGCCATCCCTTTCTTTATAGAAGATCAAGAGTGGGGATCTTCTTGTGAAACAAAGTCCACAAGAAGAAATTAATTTTGCTGGGAATGACATTTTTCCAAATGGTAGCCACAGGGAAGTTATCAATTCCGGGAAACCGATGCTTGGCAAGAAACCTGTAACAAGAATGCACAGAAAAGGAAGAATCCAGGTTGTGGGACAAGACCGGCCTACTTGAACTTTCATCAGTAAAGGAGAATCTGTGATGATCAAGCATATTAAGGAAACTGACTCTCTCACTCTCAGCCCCCCCCCCCCCACGAAGGTTAATATTTAAATCGATAGACCACTGATACCCATTACCTGTGCGTGAAAAATTGTCTGTGATATGAGCTTCCGGGTTGGCAGCAGCGGCAACGACTCGAGGGAAGGTGTTGGCGAGAACTAATCTGGGAATCCAACAATCGTCCCAGAAGAAGATATGGGCGCCACTACCAGGATCAATGTGAACCAATTTCCAGAACATATCATAGTTTTTTGAGATGTTCGACCATGGAGCAGTCGAGATGCCGGTGTAGGAGACGCGAGTTTTCCACGTAGATTGGGGGTGCTTGTATTTAGTTTCGATAAGCTTTCTCCACCAGCTTTGGTTCTCACGAGAATACCTCCAAAGCCACTTGGACATCAAGGCTTGATTAAAGATGTCCAGGTCAACAATGCCAATGCCACCTCTGTTTTTCAAAGCTTTACACATATTCCAATTAATAAGCGGCTGCTTGTGGTTATCAGTATTGCCATTCCAAAGAAACTTCCTCATAAGCTTTTCAACGAGACTGATGATGGATTTTGGAGCTTTGAAAATGGAAAAGAGATGAACTGAGAGACTAGATAGAACAGCCTTACACAAAGTGAGCCTTGCACCGTAAGAGAGGTGGCGAGCCTTCCAACCCTCGATCCTTTTCTGGTACCGAGCCACGACGGGATTCCAAAAACAAGTCGAGTTAGACTTAGCTCCCGGCGGAAACCCAAGGTAAGTAAAAGGGTCTCGACTCCACTTGCAACCAATCAGAGCTGCAAAGAAACTTGGATCCGGGATGGCACCAACCGTGAACATGACGGATTTGTTCAGGTTAATCTTCAAACCAGTGATCGATTGAAAGCAGACCAGAGCAGTCACAGAAAATGAGCGTATCATCAGCAAAGAGAAGATGAGTGACCCCGCCAGCACGATCACGCTCATTCATGAAGAAACCTTCAATTCTGCTGTCTTCTTTAAGCTTCGAAATAATGTAAGACAGGATGTCCATGACGAGAATGAATAAGCCAGAAGACAGGGGATCACCTTGTCTGAGTCCTTTGTGAGCAGGGAAGAAACCCCGAGCTTCACCATTAACGATGATAGAAAGATTGGGGGAACACATAGTAGTTTTGATCCACTTTAACCACTGCGGCGGGAAACCCATTTTCGAAAGTACCTTAAAAAGACAGCTCCAATTGACGTTGTCAAACGCTTTTTCGATATCCAATTTGAACATAAGGCCAGGCCTGCGGCTTTTGCGTCGACTATCGACAAGCTCGTTCGCGATAAGACCGGCATCAACGATTTGCCTACCTCTCACGGAAGCTTGCTGCTGATCAGAAATGAGGTTAGGAAGCACTTTAGCGAGCCTCTTCGAAAGCACTTTACTCACTATCTTGTTGATGCTGGATAGAAGACATATGGGCCGGATGTCACTGATATCTTCAACTACATCTTTCTTGGGGGTGAGGCAGATGAAAGAGTGGGTAACACACTTGGGGAGATAGCCAGTAGCATGGAACTCTCTGAAAGCATTGAGAATATCTCCTTTGATCCAGTTCCAACATCGTTTATAGAAACCCATGGTGAATCCATCAGGACCCGGGGCCTTGTTGCTATCGCAGTCAACAAGGGCGATACGAATCTCAGCCTCGCTGAAAGGTCGACAAAACAAGAATCTGTCAGTTGGGGTAAGTCTGTCACTTCCGAAAAGGCGAGGGAATGGACGGATTGGCAGTTCTTCATTATAGTAATTCTGGTAGTACTGCAGCAGGCTTTGGCCCAAAGCATCAGCGCCTTCAATGAGCTGATCATGGATTTTGATTCTGCTTATGTAGTTCAGCTTTCTCCTGAAGTTTGCCGTTTTATGAAAGAACCCGGTGTTTCTATCACCTCCTTTGAGCCAAAGCTCTTTTGATTGTTGTCTCCAGTAAATCTCTTGGAGATTAAGAGCTTTTGCCAACTCAATACCGAGTTGAAATCTACTGATTTTTTCCGACTCATGGAGAGGTCTTGATTCTTCGAGAGTGTCAAGAGATTTAATGTTAGCCAACAGCTCGTCGACCTTGATGTGAATATCCCAAATATGTTCTTATTCCACACTTTGAGCTCAAGTTTAAGACTTTGAAGTCGCTTTGCCCACCTGTAAATAAAACCAGAACCTTGCAAGGGAAGTAGCAACCAATCCGTAAGAGCATTATAGAAACGTTCATCTTCGAGCCACATATTTTCAAACCGCCAAGGCCTCTTAGTCCTCCCATCGTTTCCCCATTTAATCAGAAGGAGATTGTGGTCCGACTCGACTCGTTCCAGTGCGATGAGATTGCAATCAGGAAACATAGCGTCAAATTCAGAGGAGATAAAGGCACGATCGATACGGGATTGAGACCCACCTCCACTACCATGACTCCAAGTGAATAAACTGCTGCCCAAGGGAAGCTCCAGAAGAGCATTAGCATCAATGAAATTGTTGAATGCGAGCATCAAATCCGCACTACGACGATTCCCAACATAATCGTCATGACTCCTGACGAGGTTGAAATCTCCAGTGAAGCAAACAGCCCCCTGAAGTTGCTGGCATAGAGAATGCAATTCCTGCAAAAAGAAGATGTTGTCTTCCCGCTCCTGTGGCCCATAAACAACAATCAAATGCCACACTTTAGAGTTACGCAGATCAGAGAATTCGATAGAGATGAAGTAACGGCCTTCGCTGCTAGACAGTTTCCTGAAAGAAGATTATCCCAGATAGTCACTATGCCACCAGAGCTACCACTAGAATTTTTAGCAACCCAGCCAAGATCGCTTCTACCAGCAACACTCCTGACAAGATCATCACCTCTTTCTCTTCCATGTTTCCCTGAGTTCTAGCTATATAAACGAACTCCATGTCACTGTAAATATCTTCTCGTTTAATGAATTCTTCTCCAAATCGATCTTTTGTTAATTTCCAATCACACTTCTAGCATATATTAACGTTTTAATTTTTTCTCTATGTTATATCGAAGTTGAAGTAATTTTGCAGAACATAATCAATATGATTTTTTATATAAAAAAGTGACAATCGGATAAACCCAGTATTTGTGAAATTGTACCGTACCTGTTGTTCTACCGTAAAAACTTTCTACCAAAGTTTCAATCAGTAGGAAGTTTTTAACCACGATTTCCACGCAAAATATCCAACGGTTAATTTGTTCGGTTTAACATACGGTACAGTTTTACAATGCTTCGTTTTAATGAGGAAAAATTATGTGTCGATGAGGAGCCATATATAGGCTATTCATGAATCTGCCTCTATGAGAAAAAACGACATGATGTGCTAATGAATTCCAAACCAAGGAGGACCCCTCCTACCCACCACTCGCCTTCTCAATCTTCTCGATCGAAGAAACGACATGATGTACTAACGTTTTACTTCTCTATAGAATATGTAATTTTGTAAAACATAATTAATCTTATTTCTCTGTAAAAAAAATGGAAACTCGAGTTAAAAGCAATGTTTGGGAAACCGTACCTTACCTACGTACGTTTCGGCCATAAAAAATCTCCTACCCAAATGTAATTCTTTAGGCGGTTTTCAATGGTATAATCCATTTTAGCACAAAATATCTTACCGTCAATCTTTTAGTGACAACCTCTGATACTATTTTACGATGCTTTGCTACAACCATGTAGCTAATAATGACGAATAATTATGTGTCTACGAGTAACCATATAGCTTATTCAATGATCTGCCTCTATGAGAAAAAAACAACCACATAATGTGCTAATGAGAATTCCAAACCAAGGAAACCCGTGAAAACCTTGATCGAAAGGACTCCTACTCCCACCCCAGAACTATAAAATTTCCATTTAGTCCCTCCAAAAATTTCAATTCCACCACCCGCCACCATGATCGTCGAGCTCCTCCTCGCCTTCTTCGCCCGAGCCAAATGGGCCTCCGGAAAGCTCCCTCCCGGGCCCATAGCCCTCCCCATCATCGGCCCATTAATACATCACATCACATCACACACACCTTTCCACAGCCTCCTTTTCAAGCAAACGTATACGCCATTTCCTCTGTGAGAACGGAGGTTCTCCCTCCAATCAGGAAAGCTTTGGCATTGTACGAAGAGTAATGACCAGAATATTGCGTTACACCAGTTGGAGTTCAGATTGGCATCACATGCAGGTTTGCTTTCATATATAATGACACTTGCTGAAGAGCCTTTTGTGTTTGTTTAAGAATACAGGGAAGGCATGCACGCGACGCAAGGTTATGTTAATATCACATTCTATTAATTATATCCCGTCTTCTACCCAAAGAAAAACTCTCGAATCCATCCAGTCGTACGTTATCCGCCTACTTCTCTCTCCCTTTCTCCCTCCACTGTACAGCCTCACTATATATAATCGGGAACTTGCGGCTATCTCTCATTCACTCACTCACTCCCCACAGCGTTTTTTCTACCACCATGGATGTCGATCTGACCCCTAAGCTCCCCAAGAATGTCATCGAAGGCGACGGCGGCTCCTACCAGGCCTGGTGCCCCGACGACCTCGTCATGCTCAAGCGCGGCAACATCGGTGCCGCCAAGCTCGGCCTCAAGAAGAACGGCCTTGCTCTCCCTCACTACTCCGATTCCGCCAAGGTCGCCTATGTTCTTCAAGGTCGGTTTCGCCTTACTTCCGTTCCGCTCCTTCTTCAGATCTCGAGTTTGTTCTGAATTTCGATTTATTTGAATCAGTATATCGACTAATCGTTGTATTTTTCTTTTCTTGAGACCATCTCCAACAACAAATTGAAAAAAAATGCTAGAATGCTAAAGGGTTTTGGCATTGTGACACCTCAAAAGTGGGGTTTGTTTCAACAAGGAATGCTAAAATGCCAAACCTTCTATCTTTATGATAATCTAGATTAGTATAGATTTCGTCATTTTAATTAGATAATTTGTAGATTCTTTGTATATAGATAATAATAATAATAATAATTAATTAGAACAAACGTTTGGATGTAATTTTTTTTTATTAATTTTGACAAAAAATATGCATCATTAAATATGACATCATTAGTGACAAAAATACAATAATTGGTGGATTAAGACCGCAGATGGAAACAATAACGTATAATACAAGTAACTTATTAAAGATATGTTTATTTTGATTGATTTTGTTTTAATTATGGGATGAGGGGCGTAAGGCTCGTGCTAGCCTGCTAGGAAAAGGAGAGAGGATCCAGTGACTAAGGGGGTGCTTAGTCACTTGACTAAGCCCCTCTCAGCCCTTAGATCTGGATATAGCAATCTGATGGTTAAAAAGTGGGAAGGGTCATTTAATTAATGACAGGGGTAGTTTGGGTATTATGGAAAATTACGAAGTATACAAACCGGACTTACAATCAGTACAAACCATACAAACATACGAACAGTACAAACTAGAACGAAAAAACATACAAACAGATTTACAAACATTACAAACGTATGAACTGTACAAACAATACAAACTAGACCGACAAACAATACAAACCATACAAAAAACAAACGGGTTGACTTTGGAGGCTCCATCCCTATATAGAGGGGCTCCTTCCTAAAGTCAACCCGGGTGTTTTTTAGACATACAAACATGATGGACAAAAATGACAAACTAGACCAAAAATTCATACAAACCGGAAAAACACACGGGTTGACTTTGGAGGCTTCATCCCTATATAGAGGGCTCCGTCTCAAAGTCAACCCGGTTATTTTTTAGACATACAAACATTACGAACATGGTGGACAAAAATGACAAACTAGACCGACAATCCATACGAACTAGAAAAAACACCCGGGTTGACTTTGGAGGCTCCATCCCTCTATAGAGGAGTTCCATCCAAAAGTCAACCATGTTGTTTTTTAGACATAAAAAACATTACAAGCATGGTTGACAAAAATGATAAACATGGTGCACAAAAATAACAAAGTTTACAAACATTACAAAAAAAAAACCGACAAACATTACAAAATAACAAAGCATACAAACATTACAAAATAAACCGAAAAACAGTACAAAGCATACTAACCGTACAAAATGTCACCTAAAAATTACAAACAGTACAAACCGAATCTATACAAACATTACAAAATAGGTCAGCAAACATCACAAAATCCAACACTGTCGTCGGGAAATTTCCTCCGGTCTCTCTCTCTCTCTCCTGACAGAGGAGTGACGCGCTTATTATTTTGTTTTAATTAATTCATAAATAAAAATTGTAATTACCATATTGCCCTTCATTAAATTGGATTAATTTGGACCATTAGATTTTAATGAGGTTCAATGGCTAAGATTGGCTTAGTCATGTGACTAAGGGACCCCCTTAGTTACCAGATCTTAGCCCTAGGAGAGAAAAGGAAGGGAAGGTGGGTGCATGTAGGGAACATGGGCCTGCCTGGCGCGTCCACTGAGGAGAGGAAGTGTGATTGAGATTTTTCCATTTTTTGTCTGTTTGTGTGATAAATTTAGCACAAAATTCACATTTTTTTTTTTGCTTTTAAGCATTTTAGCATTGTTGTTGGAGTGACTTTTTCACATTTTGACATTTTAGCCTCCAACAACAATGCTAAAATGTCTTGTTGTTGGAGATGGTCTGATCGCGTGGTCTTGTTTGATCTGCCGATACTTGATTTGGATTTTTTTTGGGATTGGAATTTGGGCATGATTGTGTTTGTTTCTATCCTTAGCTGAGATTGTTTGGATGTTGGTGTCGTTTCAATTGCAGGCAACGGAGTAGCCGGAGTTGTTCTCCCAGAGAAGGACGAGAAGGTGATCGGGCTCAGGAAGGGCGACGCCATCGCGCTCCCCTTCGGCGTCGTGACCTGGTGGTACAACAAGGAAGACACGGAACTGATCATCCTCTTCCTTGGCGACACCTCGAATGGCCACAATGTAGGTTCCTTCACCTATTTCTACCTCACGGGAACCAATGGCATCTTCACGGGCTTCTCCAGCGAGTTCGTCTCACGGGCTTGGGACGTCGACGAGGCCACCGTCAAAGCCCTCGTCGGATCCCAATCGGGGGAAGGAATCGTCAAGGTCGATGGCTCAATCAAGCTCCCCGAACCGAAGAAGGAGGATCGCGATCAATTGGTCTACAACTGCGAGGAAGCTCCTCTTGATGTTGACATCAAGAATGGAGTAAGGGTGGTGGTGCTGAACACCAAGAACCTCCCCTTGGTCGCCGAGATTGGGCTGGGAGCCGATCTCGTGAAGCTGGATGGCGGCGCAATGTGCTCCCCTGGTTTCTCCTGCGACTCTGCGCTGCAGGTGACTTACATTGTGAGTGGAAGTGGCAGGGTCCAGGTTGTGGGCGTGGATGGCAAGAGGGTGCTGGAGACTACCGTTAAGGCTGGGCAATTGTTCATCGTGCCCAGGTTCTTCGTCGTTTCGAAGATCTGTGATCCTGATGGAATGTCTTGGTTCTCAATCATCACCACTCCAGAGTAAGTTCTTCATGTCTCCCCTTTTCAATTCTTGAATGAATTTGGATGATTCAGTGCCTGGAAATTTCAAGTGGGTTCTAATTTCTTGTTGATTATATTGTCGCAGCCCGATCTTCACCCACTTGGCTGGAAGGACGTCGGTGTGGAAGGCATTGTCGCCGGCGGTGCTGGAGGCCTCTTTCAAGGTGTCGTCGGAGGTTGAGAAGAAGTTCAGGGGAACTAGGACTTCCGATGAGATTTTCTTCCCACCATCCAAGTGAGCTTTTGCGAGCAGTATCAACCAGAGAGTGACCTGTTGAACAGTTTCTGTCGATCAATCGTTCTAAATAAAAAGATAATAGGAATCATATTATGTAAATATTGATATATGGATGACCATTGTCATTACCACATTAGATGCTCACTTGGGAGTTATATGTAACCACATTCCTACATTTGATAGCTCCTTTATGTTTCATTATCTATCATTGATATAAAGATGTAGTAGTTACCAAGGTGTGCCTATAAATAAAGCACACCATTGTATCAAAAGAGAGAATGAATAAGAAGAACTCTTCCCCTCTCTTCTCTTGTGTTTTTCCCTCTCTAATATTCTCTTGTAGTTGTTTATATTTTCATTAGTTTCATAACACGTTATCAGCACGAAGCTCTGCCAAAATTATTATTGCTCAAGCCTCAAAGACTCTCGACATAATCTAAGATATTGGAGTAAGATCATAATATGATCAAGGTATGTAAATCTTAGATCCTTTCTTATCTTATTGTCTTATTTGTGTTGAGATTATCTCATTCCAATATATCAAGATGGGTGCTACTTCTCATATCCATTGATATTTTATCACGTCGATCTATTTGGATTAACAAGAAAAGTAATATAAGTGATGAGTTAATTTCTCAGTTCTCCGTGTTATCCTATTCTTATCAATCATACATTGATATGTAGAAAATGCAAGTTCCAAGAGCCCGTATATTCCCCAGAAGTGGATAACATTGAAATGCATAATGAAATGCATATATAAATTTAAAATCACCTAGTTAGTGATGGTATTGCTCCAAATAAAGCTTATTTAATTTTCACAATTGTAGTATTATGATTCTTATTTCTTTTATGTTTTATTGTGACGTTATTTTTCATGCATAATTTAATTTGATAACCTTTATCTAGAGCAATTAACTTGATAAGTTCATCATTTTTGTCTTAAGTTTGAAATATTCTCATTTATTATTTTAGTATGTGTTTTGTAAAGTATGATCGTTAGAAAAATTACATATAAACTATATGGTAGAGTACATAAATGAGAAAAAGCTTCCGAAGAGCTTATGTTTGATTACTTGAAGTAACTAAATTATGTACTCGTGATAACAATTTGTGATGATATTCACTATGAATTTGTGTTTACTAAGAATACATCAAATCATAAGTCCCCAGAAGGGTGGAATATGGTACAAACTATGATAAAGCTTTAAAGGGAGCTAATTTTGTGGCCTGAAGGAACCAAACTACCTAGTGATGATGCATTATCCAATTAAAAGGATATTCGTAAAATGAATATCTTATCAAGAAAATAGTGAAACTAATATTTGCATCACAAATATGTACTACATGTATATTAGTACAATCAGTACACATAAAAGTGTAAACCAGAAGTTTACAAAATTTGATAACTTGATAATTGGTTGGTCCGGTTAGACCATCCCAGATCTTGATGTGAAAAAAGTTCTTTGACAATTCATGAGAACATCATATGAGAAGTCAAAGAACTCTTCAAATAAAAGAGTTATTATGTCATGTTTGTTCTCAAGGAGAATAGAACAATTGATCATCGCATGTATAAGAGTTGCCAAATCTCTTGAGATTTTATGGACATGTATGCAGAAGAATACATTAGTCATGTGGATCATTTGTGAATTTTATGGGTTGCTGCATCAAATGTATTTTATCTAATCGCAACCCGATGTTTGCGAGATTGGTTGTCTCACTATGGATACATTTTGATGGTTATCCAATCAAACATCACTTTGCTTAATAGAACAAGCCGAGCCTTCTGGTCTCTTGTCGAGGACATGCTAGCTGACAAGTGATAGTATTGGTTCACATCTAACCAACAAGTTATCATAAGTTCCCCCCCTTTTACAAATGGTTTTTGTAAGAAACCTAACATTTCTCATATGAGAATACCAGGGTGTGCCGCATACATCCCAATTGCTCCACCACAGTATCTTAAGTTGATTCTCGTTGGAAATTGAGAATTTGTGTTGGGTATGAATCGCGAATAGGAAATTTGTTTGCGAAATTATTGTTTTGATGGATTACTTTTTCAACATTAAGGGGGAGAGAAAAAAAAAACAGCTAGACAAAAAGATGAGTTGGAATGAGTTATCATTATATCTAGTTTTGATCCTCAAATTAAGAAACATGAACCTGAAGTTCATAAGATGAATTATCATTACCAACTATCAAATGCCTTTACTGGCCATACGAAGTGACCAAGTCACATATACTAGTTGTGAATGCTCCAACTAAATTTGATATCCTTGTTGGATACTCTAATATAAAAAATGTGTATGAAAGAGCGCATGAAGCGTGATAGACCAATCGATTCCAATTATAAACATCCTCGAGAAAGAAAAAGAGCTGTAATTAGAATGGTCAACTCGAGGACATGAAAACTCAAGAAGAGTAACCAAGAATAAAATATAATTTTAGTTCCAGAAGAACACATGTCTCTGAAAGTTGTGAAAGCGAAGAGATCTCAAAACCATATTAGACTACAATACTGGAACCGTAATGAAATCATTGTCGATGAAATTTGTTTGTTGTACTTCAGTACTGAATATGATATGTACAATGTGAGGATCAAGAGTAAAACTCTATTGATACATGCAAATGATGATGTTATTGGCCATTATAGAAATAAATCATGAAACTTGCTTGAGGAGCATAAAGTTTAAGGACCAGAAGTCCTTGCACCTAAAAAAGGGCAAAACTACCGGGATACAAACAAATTTTTGTGCTATTGGAAAGTATGAAGATATCACATAACGTTTTGCAATGGGTTTCTCGAAGAGACCTATCATTGTTTAAGAGGTGTTATACTCCCCTGTGGTGGATGCAACTACTTTTTCAAATCAATGTTTGAAAATTGTTGTGATAGCCTATTTGTTTGAATTTTCTGAAGATGTTATATATATTTGAAACTCCCAGAAGGATTAGTTACTCCTAGAAGGATTAATTTATCTGAAGTAAACAAGTAAAGTTCTCGAGAACATATATAGATAGACTAAGAAAATCTCTTGTGTGGGTTGAGAAAATATGGACGAATGTGAAATACTCGTCTAAGTGAACACCTACAACATAGGGTGAATGGACCTTAAAAGGTTAAATCCGGATAGAGTCATTAGAGCATTTGCATTGTGCATATATATTTGTGTTGACTGTATGTGTTTCAAGGATTTTAAATTCTTGATTTATGAGTTGTGATTTACTTTAAAGTATGAGTTGTGTTTTATGAGTGTGCTTTGTCTAGTTCATATGTTTCTATGATGTGTGTTTTGTTAATATCTTTCGTGATATGAAAGAATTGCTTGCTTCAATTTGTTTTAGTCAAGTTTTTTTGTGACGATCTCATATTATGTTGATGATATGTCTATTATTGGAGCTCCTGAAGAGCTTCCTAAAGCAGTTGATTGCTTAGAGACACAATTTAAATTGAAGGATTTAAGATTCTTTTTATGGGAAAGGAAGGTAATGTTGAAAAAGTGGAAAAGTAATTTTGCATGAACAAATTATGTTCATCAAATAACATTAGGATCCTAAGATCACTAGAAGTGACCAAAGATCCATTTAGGCATCAAGAAAGAAGTGAGACATTTGGTCCCGAAGTACTTTATGTTGATGTACTAGGTCCTGAAGTACCATATGTTGATGCATCAAAGCACCAATTCTCATTGCTAGCCAAACACCATATAAACTATCATTTTGGTGTTGATAATATTAGCAAAATACAATGTTTCCCTCAATGGAACGTTGGAAATACTTTGTTACCTTCACGAACAATATATGCGATTGTTCTATTATGGTACTATCAAAGAGAGATTTGGTGAACTATATATCCAAATCCTATATATAGAGGTGGCAATTGGATCGGATTCGTGGATTCGTGGATTGGATTGGTGGATCCATGGATCAAATGGATTGGATCCAATGGATTGGTGGATTGATCTATGAATCCAAATGACATCCAAGGCTTGGACCAAAATGTAAAATTTGAAAAGTTTTGGTACTAAAATGTCATAATGAAAAATTTTAGGTACCAAAATGTAATTTTCCAATGATATTTTTCGTATAAAAATATAAATTTTAGGTACCAAAATGTAAAATATAAAAAATATAGGTACCAAATTGTAATTTGTCATTTGGATCCATGGATTGATCCATGAATCCACCAATCCAATTGGATTTGGATAAAATGGATTGGATTTAAATGGATTGGATTAGGTGGATAATTTGGTGGATGGATTGGATTGGATTCATGGATTGGATCTTAATTGCCACCTCTACCTATATATTATTTGATCCTCATATTGGTTGATCAGAGATGAGTTATCTCTTACATACGGCGATATGATTGTTTCATAGATATCCACAACAAACTATAGTAGGCAAGTCCTGAATGTATTTCGTTACACTTTGTGATTCACCATATCTAAAGGACTTGTGGTTGTAAACTATTTCTAAAGGAAATGATCCTGACGATCATGTATAAAGAAAATCTAAAGATCATGCATAAGATTGACAATCTAGAAGATTGTTCACTAACTAACTCCCGACAACAATCTTTCTAAAAGTTGTTTGTGAAATTTGAGATCAACGACTCAAAGATTTGAAATGATGTGGTCATGAGGGGGAGCATATACGCACTGCACTCTTTTTCCCTTCACCATGGTTTTTCTCGCTGGGTTTTCCTGGTAAGGTTTTTAATGAGGCAGTATGAGATAGCGTAATGCAATCTAGTGGTCATCCAATGGGGAGTATTATGTAAATATTGATATATGGATGACCATTGCCATTACCACATTAGATGCTCACATGGGAGTGACATGTAACCCCATTCCTACATTTGATAGCTCCTTTATATTTTATTATCTCTCATTGATATAAAGATGTAGTGGTTACCAAGGTGTGCCTATAAATAAAGCACACCATTGTATCAAAAGAGAGAATGAATAAGAAGAACTCTTCCCCTCTCTAATCTTCTCTTGTAGTTGTTTATCTTTTCATTAGTAAATGTTAGGCTTTTCCTATTTTTATGTCGCTTTCCTTTTCTCCTTTTGCTGCCGTCATCGAATTTCGGTTTGTGATTGTGAATATTATTGGAATTTCGGTTGTGGATTCTCTATATTATCCTGTTAATTTCTGTTTACCGCACGTGCCAACGGCAATATATATGTCTACCAAAGGAAAAAAGGGAATTTATCTCCATTTACACCTCAATTCGCAGTTATCTTAGGTCACGTTTGGAAGGTGTAATTTTTTAAAATTGAGTTGATTATATTATGATT